CGAGCAATGCTTCGGCATTTCTCTATAACTGCCTCAGTGGCCGAACGGTTACCATGCCGGACGCAGAGGTCCCAGGTTCGATTCCCGGGCCGGGAGAAATATTTGTATGACCTATATTTATTTCTCTCGTGAGTTTGGGTGTAATTTGTGGTTGTCTATGTGCGTGTGTCCATGGCACCCGCGACACAGGGTTTCCCTAGTGCGGGGCTATGTTGAGTGTGTGCGTGCGTGCGTTATTTCTCTATGTGATCGATTCAGAAATGAGGAAATCCGTAGAAGAACGAAAGTCACCGATATAGCCCAAAGGATTAGCAAGTTGAAATGGCAGTGGGCAGGACACATAGCTCGTAAAACTGACGGCCATTGGGGCAGAAAGATTCTCGAATGGAGGCCATGAATCGGAAGGCGTTCAGTGGGAAGGCCCCCTACTAGATGGACTAATGTCTTGGTACGGGCGACGGTTGACCGATGGATGCACGTTGCGTCCTACCGGCTAGTCTGGCAATCTTTGGGGGAGACCTTTGTTCAGCAGTGGACGTCTTCCGGCTGATATGATAATGACGATAGTCCTAGATTGCGGTGGTAACCGTTGTATTCAATTGGCTTTAATTTCTAAGTTACGTAAATTTGTGAATGTGCCAGACAACCTCACCAATTGCCTAGTCTCAAACTAGGAAATTCCCTGTACTATGAGTACCAGAGCAACGGAATTCCCTCTGGGATTCTTCCTAGAATACCAAACCAGAACCAATTTAGAAAAGTTCATTTCTTAAGTTGGTCCTACCGGAATCGAACCCGGTACCTCCGCATTCACAGCCCACAATCTAAACCGTTAGGCTAACGAGGTCGTGAAATGTGCAATGGTAACACCTTTTGCTAACGGTGAAGTAAACATAGTCATCATTCACAGCCCTTAGACAACGTTTGAAGTCCCCAACCCGCAATATACCAGCGTGCCTTAGAGGAGACCGGGATCTATAATTTGCTGACGATGATATTATAGTCACCAAAGTTATCAGATACTTTTTTTGTTATTTCTATACTGAAATAGCAACGGGATTATTTGAAACAATTGAAAAACAGTTACACAATTGACATAAAGTTAGTTATGCCATTGTTATACATTGGAAGTGAGTACTTCCATTCCGTTCCACAGTAATATAAATAGAGCTTAACATCAGAGATAATATAATAATGGTTAATGTTAATGGTCAGATATGTCTGTCTCTTTTCAGCAAGACTGTCTTTAGCATACAGCTGGTACTAAGGTGTGACCGCACAAATAAGTACTGCTGTTCTGAATTTCTTTTCTGAATGCCCATAGCTATTTGAGTTAACAAATCTCGAGTATGTTTTCATATTTTTTTATATTCGTAGAAAAATAAACAAAATAAGTACTTGTTAATTGTAACAAAATTTTTTTTTTTTTTTATAGTAAACGATGAAAAAGTAAGTGATGGTGTCGAGGGATGCGAAAGAACTTTTCTTCTCATATCCTGTATCATGAAACATGAGGTATGTATAAAGTGAAATTGAAATAAAAATACTTTCAATAGTATAGAATGTTTTCATTTTTCGCTAAATCGACTCCTACTTAATTTGTCGTGAAAGTCAAGTCACAAAAATAGGTAGATGTTTTCATAAATCACTTAAGTAGGTCTGTTTATACTGACCGTAAAATTATAAAGCATGAAAAATGGTATTTTTCAAATTTAATTGCATAGCCTCGAGAATCGCTGGTATTATGTTCATTGTAGTCCTTTCGATACATATTACAACGCTGTAAGCTGTGAATTTGGGCTGAGTTAAAATTTTAAATATTAGACAACATCACATACGTTTCTCTGATTCCAAAGTAAGTAACTAAAGCACTGTTATGGAAGTCGAAATAAACAGAATTTTAAATTTAAGTCTTGTTAAGAGAATTTGAATGTTTCCTGTATAAGAGCCGTTTAATATTAAGAGTAATAACTAATATTGATTTACCATTTTTTTAGGAATTGTTCGAATAAGGTGGCTATTCTGAAAAGATTGACAATACAATACACCCGAAAGATATGATTATTATTGCCTAGTGTAAGTTTTTTGCATAAATAAAGCAAAGGATAAATTGTATTTCCAAATTACATTTTTGATTTTTATTTGTTCACCCAGGTAAAAGCGACAAGACAAATTTGCACTCTCGCATTTTGTGGAGTTTGAAAAAAATGATATTACCAAAACATGAGTAATCATTGTAGTAGAGTAACTTTTGGTACTTCTTGATACGGTTACCTATCAGTATTCTGAAATGACATTTTCCAGAAATAACGTTTGGTCGAAATTTCATAAACTCGGAAGGAATTTTGAGAGGAAAATGTTTTTTTTTTAAACCTAACTTAACCTAACATAACCGAACCTAATCGTGTCTTTGCGATAAAAATTGAACATTGAACAAAGAACAATTGTTTCGTTATAATTCAATTTTCGGTGTAATGAAAATTCGAACAAACGTTATTTCGGACAAAAAATTTTCGACTTTGTGATAGGTTACAGGTACATGGGACTTCTGTCTTCAACTTATGTCACAGGGTATCGGACGCATTGAAGGTGCCTCTCAGAGCTTTAAATCGCAAAGATCTGACTTTGCAATTTAAAATACTGACTGGCACTGTAACAGTTATGGACAGGCGTGTCGTTCTCCATCAGGCGCACTACTTATTTTTCCCGTCGCTTGGTATCATAAAAAAATTATAATAAACCTTTTGTTAAATTGATACTCATTTGGATCCTAAAGTCAAACTACGAAGACAGTTTTGTAAGACTATGTTTAAGGTAAGAAAATTATATCGGTTTTACATTCCAAAATGAAACAAAAATCGAAAAGATGGCACATGAATTTGTGAGAAATAAGATTTTACGAATTTTAAAACCATTTATTTCAAACCATAACATCTTCCGCTCTCCGCAAACATTACGATGCACTGTTGTGTCGCGGCAGCCCTATCAGCATCCTAAAAACATTATATTGTACTTTCACGGTCTTCAGAGTTCTCTACGTATACTTCACTCACTTATTATGATACAAAACACACTATGTCAGTTACGTCAAAGTTTTAAGCTTCTGTGGTATCCTGATATTAAATCACATATTGCTCATATAAAGTTGCCAACAGATTTACCTACACGATTTTTTTACGTATGATCAGTTTTTTTTCTACATTGACCTTAAGTTCGTTTCTCAATACTTAAACCACATAGAACTTTTAACCACACTAGTTTTTGTAGAGCTCCTTGTAAAAGAGTTCGTCCACGGAAGTACTGCCACCTTACCTATTTCTACCATCAAGTAGTAATGTGAGCATTACTGCTTTCCGGTTTTGAAGGATAAGCGTGCTGTTGAATTATAGATACGTGGCGGTACTGTTACTGCTTTGAACAGGCGTGTCGCTTATTACAAGGAGCACGATTTGTTCGTCCCGTCACTTTGTAATCATAAATTAACTACCTCAGTGGCCGAACGGTTACCATGCCAGATTGCCACGCAGAGGTACGAAGTTCGATTCCCGGGCCAAGGCAAATATTTCTATGGCCTACATTATTTCTCTCGTGAGTTTGGGTGTAATTTGTGGTTGTCTATGTGTGTGTGTTCATGGCACCCGCGACACAGGGTTTCTCACTAGGGAAATACTCAACATAGCCCCGCATTACCGGAAAGTGCACGAAACCGGATTCAACCTCTAGTTTGTCACCTTTAGAGGTGGAATAGTTTCTTCAAATTTAAATGGGACTAATACCGTGGTACCCTCTTTCCAACGAAAAAGAATCATCGATTCACAAAACGAAGTTATCGCATAACACATACAAAAAAATACAGTCGAATTGAGAACCTTCTCCTTTCAAGATATTTAAACAATGAATTAAGAGTCGATACTACTTCAACTCGAATTCAATTTTTTCCCGTAGGTACTAACTAATACGGTTCATTTTGCTTGAGTTTATTTTTTTACAAATGAAATTAATGCCATTTGAAGAATTTAAATTAATGCCATTTAAAAGTACTATGCGTGTTCTATTTAGTTCAGTTAGTTGATAATAAAAAATCGGTATATCTAAAGTATCTATTGAACACGGCGGTTTTCTTGTAAAATTTCGAGGTAAGTTTGCGTTTTTTTTTGTATACTAATTTTTATTTATTTATTTTTATTTATTCAGGTAACAAAGACCCATATGTACGTACCTTATAGACTAACATACATAATAATACAAGAAAAACACTATTATTATACACTAATTATTTTTAATTATTATATATTATTATTATAATACTAATTATTATTCACACTAATGAGTGTATATCTTCAATTGTACTATATATTTTTTCCAAAGTGATTGATTCAACAGTTTCACTGTTATGTGGAATCAATCAAAGCTATTTGAAGTTTTATTGACTCTTAACAAACTATATCGTTTGTAGATAGTTCTTTAGAACCGAAGTTAATGAAAAACATCAATGTGACATTAGGTAGGTATTGGTATAGTGACAAAACGTGAAATCATTTTCCTACCTCGATAACCATGTTTAATGACATCGTGATATTGTTAAAATGTAAGTAATAACAAACTCGCGTACCGTGCAAGGTAATTCACAAAATTGCCTTTTTATTCAGTGAACATCACAAGCAAATTGTCATAATTACAAGGTAGAAATAACAAACACTGCACTATAAATTGTATATAAAAATGTCAGAAATTAAGTAGCTAGTGCATTATCGCGGTAGCATTTGAAATTCGTACTTGAAAAAGTAGCTAGTAAGTGACAATGAAATATATCCTGTATTTTGCTGTTTTGGTAGTGTCGTTGAAGAATCTTAGAGTAAGTACTGTATATAATATTGTTTTTATTGCTTTTTAAAAAGTTCTCAATTCGAATGTACTTTTTTTCATGTTACAGGATTACTCCGTGTAACCGTTTTCAAAAAGGGTACCTCAGTCCCATTTAAATCTAAAGAAAATACTCCACTTTTAAGGGTCCGATTTCGAAAAGGGTACCTCAGTCCCATTTAAATCTAAAGAAAATACTCCACTTTTAAGGGTCCGATTTCGAAAAGGGTACCTCAGTCCCATTTAAATCTAAAGAAAATAGTCTACTTTTAAGGGTGGTGGTAACGCCAGGTATAGTTTGTCTGAGCTCGCATCTCCTTACCTTTCCCGTCCTAATCCGTGCTACGCCAAAGCCACATAAATCGCCAGTGAAATTAAAAAATAAGTGTGTGTGACGTTCATTCGAACTGAAAAATCCGCATCTTCGACATCGCATCATTTATTAAACTAAATATCACGTTTTTCCGCCCGGCATTGAGCCGCGTACGCAGTATATTACATGGTAGCGTTATTGGTGATCGGCCACAAGTGAAGTGGCGAAAGAAGACAAGCTCCACGACGTTTCGGACATAAGTAGCACGGTTTCCATTCCTTTAACTTGCGAGCTCACCTTTTTCTGCAGCTCCTTGCGAGCTATCGAAGGCGTGTTTTTAATTTTTTTTATTATAGCGTCACCAGGTGCTATTTCACCCAGTTCCCGATAAAACTTGGCAAATATGTAATGATGTAATTTCATGCACTTTTTACATTGGTTTTTTTATAATTACGAATATGCTTGGTTTTTTTCATGTTTCAAAACTATGACTCAACTGGTTGGTAATTTTTCGGGGTTTCTCACGTTCTTTTTTATCAAAACCATTGCGTACAACAAAGATAATTGCGACCCTCGTGGTTGGATTCGTAGAGGTGATGATGGTTACAGTTTTTTTGGGATTTCGAATACAATCTTTCGTTTACTTACTTTGTTCTCATATTACTTAAAATAATTTCATGCTCTATTTTAAGGGAAACATTTGTTCAGAAATTATCTAATGTGAGGCGTTAGCAGGTTGCAGGTACATTCGTACTTTAAAAATCACAGATTGTTAAAATCCGTGGAATCTTCTGTGGCGGATTAACAATATTTAGAAGCTATTAATTGACATCACTTTCATCTTTTTGATATGAAAGCATATCAGTCTCCTTTCTCTGTATGTTTAGAATACAATAATTTCGTTCTCATCTAATTTAGACGAAATCTTTGTTCAACAAGTTCCTAGGATAGTTGGACGTAGTTAAACAAAAAGGATCCAATGCACAACCACTCCCTTTCAAATATGGCGGTTTAAAGTTTAAAAGTCTTTCTCACTCTTGTTTTATTTTCAAAACTTATAACGTCATGTAACTCCAGAGATATTTATTTGTGTTTATATGTTGGATTTTTTGCCGATCTAAGAGGTTAGACTTTAGGAATCGTTTGGTACATATAACTCATATAATGATAATTTTGTGAATTGGATCCTTTTTGCTAACTACGTCAAATTTTGAGGTTGTAGATAAATTCTGTTTTTAAATTTAAACATTAACAAATAATTTTAATTCATCAAAGCTGTGAATTAAACTTTTAGGCCAACTTTAGCAAAGAAAGTGAGACGTCAATATCAGAGCTTCTGAAGGCATCCATGGACGAGTGTGCTAAAGAGTTAAAACTGAATGTAGATGAGCTCAGGGAAAAGTCTAGTGGTTCCTCTGACAAATCTATCCATTGTCTCTACTCTTGTATTTTAAAAAATAAGGATGTGGTAAGTTGTTTCGAGATTTGTGCAGTAGAAATACCGGAGTTCACAAATTTTTTTTCATTAGGCAAAAAAAATAGTGAACTCCGGTATTTAAGTAGTTGATTCAGTTAAATGTCACAGAAATATTTCTTATATATTTATTTGACTGCCTCCGTGGCCGAACGGTTACCATGCCGGAATGCCACGCAGAGGTCCCGGGTCGGGAGAATGTGTGTCCATGGCAACCGCGACAGGGTTTCCCTAGTGCGGGGCCATGAATGTGTGCGTTATATGTGCATTATTTCGAATGCTGCTTTTTGCACTTTATGGTGTTTTTAATTTCTGTTCGACTGTTTTCCAATTTAATGTGGGGTTTTCTGTCCTTTACATTTTGTGTATTTTAGATAATTATTTGAGTAGTATCTTAAAATCTAGAGAAAAATAAGAGAAGACAAAATATTATAAATAAGCAGTCCAGACTGGATCTAATGACGACCTAGGTAGGTGGGCCACCGTTTACACTGTGGGTGCTTGATGTGGAGGGCACGGGTTCAATTCCCGGTAGGAGCAATTTGGAAAATGAACTTTTCTAAAGCGGTTTTGGTCCGGATGTTCCGTGTAGTGCCCCGGATGAATTCTGTTGCTTCGGTATTCGTAGTTTGAGACCATGCAGTTGGTGTAGGTAGTTGTATGGGACATTATTATTATATTATTATTTAAAAGGAGCATTCGTACCTGGACCCCGGTTCAGAACTCTTCGATATTTCAACCGAATTGTACGATTGGATATCGTTCTCGAATCGAAGGGCGCTTTCCGAGCTATTCAGAACATTCCGAGTCAAACCTTCAATTCGGATTCGGATACGATATCGTTATCCAACAGCGTTTACGAAGTTAATCGGTGAAATAGATTATAAGAAAAATTTAAACCTTTTATATATATTTTTAACACTTCAACGGCCTAAAATATAGGAATGCATTAGTCGTGCATTAAAATAAATTAATAAAATTGAACAAAACTCAGACTTTATTTAAATAAGAGATTTCAATTTATGTTATTTACTTATATTCTTGCTTTGTAAACAATAGGAAGTTCGGTAACTTACATTCGATAACTGTGTTCTGAGTAACGTTAGTAGCCTTTGCCGGTCGAGAAGCTCGAGTAATCGTACGTTTGCCGTTCGATTCGGGTGTTGTGAATAAAAATGAAAAGAAATCGTACGATACGTACGATATCAAATCGAATCGATCGAGAACTGAGTTATCGTAAGGTTCTGAATCGACACCCTGTACTTCCAAACAACCTTACTACTATTTAATTCTAAAGAAATCCAGAGCAAAGAACGCGAGGTTTAGAATAGGCGAAGAGCTGACGCCTACCAAACAATTATTTGTTTGTAAACTCGACGTTTCGTCAGCAGACTAATGAATATGCAGGGTGCCCAGTAATGGGGCAACATAATTAAGCAGGTCATATTTTCTATAAAGTAAACGCTTTAAATTTTTGTGTACAAAAGTAGCAACTAAGTAACGCGTGGAAAAATATTTGATAAAATACCGGATCGATTTAAATCCCTTCCTTTGGCAAAGTTTAAAAAGAATCTGCGCATGACTCTTAGAACATTTATTCTAATCGGTTGATTCGGTTAAGTCCATTTTTTCAAATATAAAGACGATTGAACCCTATTCGTTGCCACTTATTAAGATCACATTATAATATACCTTATTTCAGTTCAATCAGTTTCTTAATTATTTACATATTTAAGGCTAATTATACGGAGTGAAATGCTTAATAAAGTATAAATTGATTGTAAAATTACCTTGGAGAACTTGGACTTGGACTTGGAACTTTACACACACACATATATATGTATAATGTATAAAATAGAGCATCTTTATGTGCAACTATGTGTTTTTTCCAGCTAAACGAGGAAGGCAAAATAGATTTCGACAAAGGACTCGAAGTATTGAAGGGTATTACGTCAAACGAGGATGATTATAAGGTTATGGAAAACATTGCAAAATCTTGTGCTGTGGGTTAGTTTATATTTTTTAACTGTATCATAGTTTTCATAAATGTATGAATGAGAGTATGGAATACATCTCCTTGTAGTAGTTCCTTTAGTAATATTTGTTATGTATTTATTTATTTATTTAATCATTTATTACACACGAAAACACGAATCACATTTAGTAAAAAGGAAAACACTCACAAAAGGTACAGCTTATGTCATGTGTTATGTGTAGGAAATTTCTTCCTGTAGACCAAAGTTCAGGACACAATAATTACAATAACGGGTTTTAGGTGCACAACAAAATTAAATTAAATTATGCAGATATCAACAGTATAACTAATTGTCAGTAGTAGTAGAGCTCTTTGTGAAAGGATTGTGAGAGAGTTCCAGAGTAGTCCTGCCACCTTACCTATTTCTGCTGCCTAGCTGTAATGTGGGCATGACTGCGTTTCGGTTTTGAGTCTGGTGAAATTACAGGCATATGGGATTCAACTCAGTCAACTTATGTCTCTGGGTGACTGACGCAGTGGAGCACTCCTCAGATCTTTGCGATTTAAAACTAAAGGCGTGTTGCTTACCACCAGGCAAAAAAAAAGAAAAATGTTGTTTTATTGCTTCAATCCACACTCATAAACATGTTGAAAATGGATCGTAATAATAAAGTGGATGAACTACATCAGAGATATTAATCGGCAATGGTAGAGATACGTTCCGTCTTTGGTTGGCAAAACTATCCCTATATTCATGTAGCTGATTTGGCGTCACTGATGATATTACTATTTTTAATTTCTTTTCGAAATTTCCATAACTGTTTTATTTTTTAAGGAATTTCGACTTCGTTTTTACTTCACCCTTTGATATCGTAATGTAAAAAGAAAGAAAAATATTAGTATTCTCATTGAATGAGAATCTCCATGACGGTTTACAATTTGGCGGCTTCCGTGGTCGAGTGGATTGCACACCGCTTTTCATAGTGTCGCCATCTGCCGGGTTCGATCCCGCTTCGAACGCGCTTCTCGCACGCGTCTGGCCCTGTACTCTCGTTGTCTCAAATCAAAAGGTTCATGATGAGAATGACCCTTCATACTTGATATTGTCTTTTGATTCGGTCGAGTATTACTTATTCGTCAGTAATTGTAGCAGTAGAGCTCTTTGTGATAGGGTTCGTTCAGGGAAGTACTGAACTGCCACCTTACCCATTTCTGCCGACAAGCAGTAATGTGAGCATTATTACGTTCCGGTTTCGAAGGGTAAGGGTACTGGTGAAATTACTGGCACATGGGACTTGTCAAGTGATAATTTTTTTTGTCCGAAATAAGGTTTGTTCGAATTTTCATTACACCGAAAACCGAATTATAACGAAACAGTTGTTCTTTCAGGATACGTTGAATGTTTATCGCAAAGACGCGATTAGGTTCGGTTAGGCTAGGTTTAGTTTAAAAGAATCAGTACCACCTTGTGCAGGTGCTGACTGGACACGGGTGTTTCGGTCACTACCTGCACAAGGTGGCGAGGAGGGAACCGTCCCCGTCGTGTCACGAGTGCGGCGCTGCGGATGACACCGCGCAGCACACCCTAGAGGTGTGCAGCCGGTGGGATGAGCAGCGCCGCACTCTGACGGGGACTGTAGGGCAGGACCTCTCGCTGCCGAGCGTGGTTGCCGCCATGCTCGATAGCGAGGAGTCCTGGGAGGCGGTGGCTTCCTTTTGCGCAGAGGTTATGTCGCAAAAGGAGGCCGCGGAGCGGGTGCGCGAGGACGCGGCGGACGCGCACCCGCTTCGGCGCAGACGTACGGGGAGAAGGCGAAGGCAGTTCGCTGCTCGCCTGATCCCCTAGTGAGGCCAGCGGGCTCTGGACAGGGACTCCGGAGCCTGCATTGCACGGCCTCACTCGTCTGGGGGGCGGGTCGGAGGACAACCGACTCGCCCCTCCGTTGGTGCGGGAGCCCTGGCGCAAGCTAGGGCGGCCAAGCGGCGTCGTGGTGAATGTTCACCGATCCCACGGCGCCGACTCAACCGGCGAGAGGAAAACCCGGGGGGGTTTTAGTGGGGTAGGCCCTCCAGTCTGGAGGGAGAGTCCCCACATAACCCCTGAGTCTCCCTGGGCTCAGGGGTATCCATAAAGATTTCCCCCCGACAAAAAAAAAAAAAGGTTTAAAAGAGTGACCATTTTCCTCTCAAAATTGCTTTCGAGGTTATGAAATTTCGACCAAACGTTGTTTCTGGAAAATCTCATTTCGGACTACTGATACCTATCAGTAGTCCGAAAAACGCAGTGCCCCACAGATCGTTGCGATTTAAAGCTCCGAGTGGCACTGCAACTGTTATGGACAGGCGTGTCGCTCACCATCAGGCGCACGACTTGTACGTCCCGTTACTTGATATTATATATTTTTTAAATGTTTCGGACGGAGAACGAAAATAGATCCCCTGTATCGCGTTTACGCGCGTCATCTGGGCGTCGTCCTTGGCTCATATAAAATACGCCATGTGCATAGACTCTAAGGTCTTGTATACTAATGAATGAAATCCTTATTAATATTTAATATTTAATTTACAGTAAACGATGAGAAAGTGACTGATGGGATCAAGGGATGCGAAAGAGCTCGTCTTCTTTTAACCTGCATCGCGAGTATAATATAAAGTATGTAAAACCATAAATATTGTAGTTCCTAATCAAATTTCGAACATGTAGAAAAAATCCTTCTATCCGGCTGGATTAGAACCAGCGTCTGTATGCTAATCTATGGCAACCGTTCTGCCAACTGCGCTACAGGTTAAGTCAACAGACCTTACGAATTTCCCCATGCGTTAGTTACAGATCTTTGTTTAGTTATTAACGGCTTTTATTCCCTTTTGTTAACGATTCCCTCTTATAAATCGCTAGCTATTGGAGAGTAGCTATTAATGTGCGAATTTTAATTTTTCAGCTGTAGAAAAAGATAAGGTGTGCTACCACGACGTGACAAGATGCGCAACGCAACGCACCCGATGGATATGAATATTCTTTGAAATTTTTGAAAAATAAAGGCAAGTTTATGGCAGTATTTCCAAAATACTTTTATTTTTTATTTTTTCTTTACCCATGTAAACGAGATAAGGTAAATTTTAAAGAATTGGTTTTACCAAAACAAAAAGGTATTACAAACGGGAGTAGTAAAAATTACTCTTGTAGTATTTTTCCATTTGATATCTATTTATTGATTTGATAATTTATTTACGAGAAAAACACAAATTATATTTAGTAAAACGGAATACACGAACAAAAGGTACAGCTTATGAGCTTATGTCTAAAAGAAATATCTTCTTGCAGACCAAAATACAGGACACAATAATTACAATAACGGGTTTAGGTGCACAACAAAATAAAATTAAATTATGTAATATAATGTGTAGTAGCAGTAGAGTGCCTCGTGAAAGAGTTCGTTCAGGGAACTACTGCCACGTTACCTCTTTCTGCCGCCAAGCAGTCCGGTTTTGAAACGTAAGGGTGCTGGTGAAATTACAGGCACATGGGACTTGTCAACTTACGTCTCAGGGTGACAGACGCTGTAGCAGTGCCCTTTGAGTTGCACTGCAACTGTTATGGACAGGCGTGTCGCTTAGCATCAGGCCTACGACTTGTTCGTGCCGTCACTTGATATCATAAAAAAAATTAAAAAACAATAGCAAAAACATCAAATTACTACAGACTACATAAATACTTAGATAAATACATACATCGAGTATATAACCAGAAATAGAGGCGAAATATTATTTAGTTTGTTTGAAAACTATTCTGCCGAATCATTACTGTAACAACTGTGCTCCGGTTGGCCAGCCCGAAATCGATTTCGAAAAAATGTACGGGTGTCGTCAATTGTTTCATTGCAAATTGATCAGTTTAACTTGAGCTTTGATGTAATGGACGAAAACTGCAAAATTACACATTTAATATTTAATCACCGATGAAGTGGGATTCCGTTTGTTTTGCAATTAGATATTTTGCTGTTTCTCCACACCACCGAATGGAACTGCCCTCGTTGTTAGAGATATTATCGTTATTACTATAAATACAGAATATTATTGGAGTATACGGAGACGTACACACAGGTCAGTTGTTGGCGCTGTACTATTGCGGCTTTCTAATTTGTGATTTCAGTGCAAACAAGAGTTGATATTTAAAAGTGATCTAAGGCCCATTTACCTGATAAGTTGCCAAGGACAGATGGGCGTTATTTCGTCTCTATTTCTGGTTATATACTCGATCAATGCATATCTTATACAATTCATGGGTGTTTTCATTGTTTTAAACGATATTATCAATAAGCATTACTGCCCTCCTTGTAATAACTAACGTAATCGACATTTTTAGCAAAATTGAGTTATTAACATAATAATATCTGGAATCAACCAAACGAGATCTGCAACACTGGTCGGTTTTTTTATATCTTATTTACTTTCAGTTTTATTGTTAAGCAAAATCAAAGTAATTGACAATTTTTTAAAACTTTTATTTTTTATGGCTCCGTCATTATATGAAAATTAAATAATGATTTTGTCACGGCTAAAAGAAGAAAGAAAAAAAAAGAAAAAACCATTGAGTTCTATTGAAACAATAACCGGTGTTGATGGGTGCCAACATCTCGAAAGTTTCAGAAATGCAAATGCGTTAGTTATGACAAGTCGTTGTTTTTGTGACAAATGAAATAGTTGAATTTTTCGTTACTATTTTATTTCTTTTAAGTTAAATGAATATTTTTGTAGCTTAGTACTGCTATAATATACATTCTTAGAGTATAAGTATTTATGTTTTACGATATTTGTAATAATAGGAAAAAATTGTGCAAACGATATGTTGGCAGCAGTGTTGGGCAAAATTTAATTGTTCTGGCAATTAAAGATTGACAATTGCGAAACAGCAATTAACGATTGATCAATTGTTAGTTGCGAGAACCGCAATTAACAATTAATCAATTATTAATTGCGGCTCTCGCAACTAACAATTGATCAATCGTTAATCGCAAATATCTACAATTAACAATTAATCAATTTTCAATCTTTTCAATGTTTTTGATTAACAATTAACAATTAAAACTGACAATTATGATAAATTTATAGGGCATATGGGGGTGAGTTAGCGCGTTGGTTATGGGGGCCCCGGTTGGGGGCCCCTCTTGTGGGCCCGGTTGGGGGCCCCGGTTGGGGACCCGGTTGGAGGGCCCCAGGGCCCCGGTTGATGGCCCTAGTTGGAGGCCACAGTTGGGGCCACAGTTGGGGCCACAGTTGGGGGCCCCGGTTGGGGGCCCCAGTTGGGGGCCATAGGTGGGAGCCCCGGTTGGGGGCCATAGGTGGGGGCCCCGGTTGGGCCTTAGTTGCAGGCCACAGTTGGGGGCCCTAGTGGGAGCCCTAGTGGGAGCCCCAGTTGGGGGCCCCAGTTGGGGGCCCCGGTTGGGGGCCTCAGTTGGGGGCCTCAGTTGGGGGCCCCAGTTGGGGGCCACAGTTGGGGCCCCAGTTGGGGGCCACAGTTGGGGGGCCCCTGTTGGGGGCACCAGTTGGGGGCCCTAGTGGGAGCCCCAGTTGGGGCCCTAGTCGGGGCCCCAGATGGGGGCCCCAGTTGGGGACACCAGTTGGGGCCACAGTTGGGGGCCCCGGTTGGGGGCCCCAACTGGGGCTCCCACTAGGGCCCCCAACCGGTGCCCCAACTAGGGCCCCCAACCAGGGCCCCCAACCGGGGCCCCCAACAGTGGCCCCCAACTGGGGCCCCAACCGGGGCCCCCAACTGAGACCCCAATCTGGGGCCCCCAACTGGGGCCCCCAACTGAGGCCCCCAACCGGGGCCCCCAACTGGGTCCCCAACTAGGGCGCCCAACTAGGGCCCCCAACCGGGGCCCTGGGGCCCTCGACCGGGCCCCCAACCGGCCGGAATTGATTTTAATTGCAAATTTAATTGCAATTAAAATCAATTCAATTGAAATCAATTGCAATTAAAATCAATTGCAATTAAAATCAATTGCAATTAAATCAATTGCGGCGCGTCGCAATTGATTTAATTGCAATTGATTTCAATTGAATTGATTTTTTAATCTGATTGAATTATTGATTGAAATTTAATTAATTAACGCCCAACACTACACTCCGCAACTGTACAACTCAAACCATTTACGTTATCCAAACTAATATTATAAATGCGAAAGTAAGCGTGTTTGTCCACTGCATCCGATTCTTATTCCGATCCGAATCTGAGACTACTACAAATCTAGAAAACTCGGAGCCATTTCGGATGTCGCTTGTGCACTAAGTCCTATTCGAGTCCGAGAAAACACGAATGTCGCTTGTATATTGACGATCCCTGTGACCCTTCCGACCGTCATTTCTCGGATTCGGAAGGAATATGAATCGGATACAGTTACGTTTTCACTCCTAAGCCGCTGAAGCAACATTTATGAATTTTGATATAGAGACAGATAGAAATATATATATATATATATATATATACAGTGGTGGTCGTGTAATTAGAAAAACTACAAACGGTCCTTGACATTATGTAAGAAACTTCACCGCAATCGTTTTTATTTTGAAATTAAACAATAAATAGGACAACAATAGGTTCAACGATTTATTATTTATTAGAAAAACAATATAAAGCCCACTACACAAGTGCAGTTTCAATATTACATTACGGACACTTAAATCACTTTTAAGGTATAAACAATAATGGACAACTAATTAGAAACAACAACAAAAAAGTGTAAAAAAACAACATTTTTTTAATTATTAGTAATTAGTATTTTTATTACGAAATAGCTACTATCCACAGCCTACCAATATTTGTAATTAATTTAGTGGTGTATCCCTTATTTTCAATAACAGCTCTGCAACGACGTGACATTGATTCAATCAATGTCATACATTTTTCTAGGGGGATTGAATTCCATGCTTCAACAAATGCTTCATATAATTCGTTTTGACTCGTGTTACGTTTGTTTGAGACTTTCTTCTTAACAATATACCACAGATTTTCTATCGGGTTTAAATCCGGACTATTTGCTGGCCAGTCTAAAACGGATATACGCTGTTCGCTAAGGAAACATTTGACGCTATTGGCCGTGTGTTTAGGATCATTGTCATGCTGAAAGATCCAGGTTACAGGCAAATGATCGTCCGAGTAGGGAATCATTGTGTCCTCCAAGATATTTTAGTACTGCCATTGATCCATTGTACCTTTAATCTTCCGAACAGGACCAACTCCACATCCGGAAAAACACCCCCAAACTTTAATGTTTCCGCCACCGTGCTTGACTATGCTCCTTGTGTATTTATAATTAAAAGCACTGTTTACAGGACGTCTAACATAGCGCTTTCCATCTGAATTTACCATGTTTATTTTCGTTTCATCTCAAAATAAATAGTTTTTCCAGTCTCGTACCGACCAATTAACATATTTTTTTGCGAATAATAATCGCTTCTCTCGATGTTGCGTAGAAGCGGTGCCTTTCGAGAGGTTCTTCCAAACAATTTAGCTTCCACTAATCTTCGGCGTATCAGTCTTGATGAGACGTTTCTGGGGTCATAAGGCGATAAAACTTCATTTTTAATCTGGTTTGAGCCTTTAAATGGGTCTTTTTTAGCAACACGAACGATTAGCTTATCTTCTCTGGGAGAGGTTTTTCTTGGCCGAGCCTTTCTAAGAACATTTTCAACAGTTCCATGTGTTTTATAATGATCAATTGCATTAAAAACTTTCTTCACAGAACAATTTAAATGCTCAGCTATTCTTTTGTACGTCCACTTTTGATCTAAATGTAAATTAACAATTATTTGCCTAGTTGACGCGTCACAACTTTTATTTTTGCCCATTTTGAACAAAATTAAATTCAGATCAAATTTTGAATTGCTGCCAAAAATAATAGAAAACATCAAGAAAGAAATGTTATTCTTCAATTTCAAAAAAAGAACGAGCTATAGAATCCTTTTTTCAAATGTTTCTAATTAGACGTCCAAGCGGCCAGGAACAGAAAATATACTCGTACATTGTGTAAGACTCATTTTGTAATTAAAAGTAAGATATGTTTTATTTTTTATGCATTTAATGATTTTTTATTTGATTGGCTATATTATTGCATGATTATTTATTATTGAATTTATATATTTTTCACGAACATTTGTACGTTGAAGTTAAACTTCCTTCAATCATAAGAAGTGCTTCTAATTAAATCGTCGTTTTGTTGTTTGTCTTAAGTAAGTTGCCTATGTCCTTCTATTATATATATCTTCTTCTTTCTATAATATATATATCACAAAAATAAATCTTAAAGGGGGTGAAATAGGAGATGAAAGTTTGTATGGAGAACAAATAAAACTAAGAAGTACTTATTCTACGCAGACAAAGTCGCGGCAACCAGCTAGTTAAGAATAAAAGCTTACAATGCTGTTAATTTATTTTATCATAATTTTTTTTTAATTTTGAATTTAGATCATTATGATATAGAGCAGTTACTCATAATAAATTAAATATGAATTGTTAAAGTAACAAATCGTGTCATATTGCCAGATATTAATCAATAGCCATGATTTTTGACTCTATAGTTTTCTTAACAGTAAGCAACAACAAAACTCATCTATCGCGCAAGGCAAACTACGTTATTACCTTTTTTTATTCAGTATGCATTAGTAATCATAATTACGGTTGCAGTAAAAAACTTTTATATATATATGTATAAATGTAAGATTCCCGTAGCACAAGCAGATTACCGCGGCAGTACGTTGGAGGAAGTCATTTGCTCTTGGAAATTGTCGCTACAAAATGACAATGTTAAAATACGTTTTTTGTTTTGCTATTTTGGCTGTGTCGCTGAGGAATGTTAAAGTAAGTACTGTATTTTTATTCCTATTTTAATTATTTTAAAAATCGAATATGTCTTTACCCTGTGCCTCAAATTCTTGGCTTAAATGAACACTTGAGATGAAAGCTATACACGTTCTAGTTTATCACTATCATCAAGGAAAATAAATTAAAGATATGCGTGATTCGTTTATTAGTTTGTATGAAATTTCAAAAATAGGTAGCTAAAAATTAAACCGTGTTTTACTAGAGATATTTCTGCCCTCCTTGTCATAACTAACACATTTGCATTTACCTTTACATAGGTAACTTTCGAGAAATTGGCACCTAAAGTTTTTTTGCACATAATAAATGTCAATTCCGCTGATTTTGCCGGCTCGGAAATCGAACCTAGGACCTCAGCGTGGTAGTCATGGCAACCGTTCGGCCACGGAATCAGTCAAAACAAAATTAAAACTATTTTTTCTTCTTTTCCGAGTATATGAGTATTTGAGTATTATATGTAGAAGTATACGAGTATTTGTTTTTTCAAACAAACCAACGTTACAGGTCTCATGGTCCGGGTGAACGGCCCGAAACGTTGGTTTGTTTAAAAAAATTAGATACGTGATTTAGTTCCGAGAAAAAAATAGATCATTTCCTAAATGAAACTGAAACTAAATAAGATATATAAAAAACGAATATAGGGGCTTGTGGATCTCGTTTCCCTGATCCCATATATGTTAATAATTAGATTTCGCAAAAAAAATGTCGATTACGTTACTTATGGTAAGGAGGGTAGATTTATTCAGCATGTATTTAGCATAAGGCTAAACCTGGTGAAGCTACTACGTGTACCTACCTACTACATCCAGTAATCATAGTATTTTCTTTTGGAATTTCACTTCAGTTTCTCTCAGTAGAATCACGCTTACATGTAGCTCATCGTGAACCAGTCAGGGTTAAGTTTGAAAACCCTAATGAACATGACCAGGTTCACGGCAATAAAATGCGATACTTCGGTCCGCATAAAATGTATTCGTAATTAAATCGAGAGGGGAAAGAAAGAGGCCTGAAAGAGCCAAGTTATACAATATTACAGATTGGTATTAAAATTGGGACACGGTTAGTAGTAGTTATTACAGATTGGTATTAAAATTGGCACATAATTAGTAATAGTTATTACAGATTGGTATTAAAACTGGTAAAAGAATCAAAATTACACGTAATTAAAAATTAGAGCAGTATTGTTCGCTGCCGCGATTGAGCAGGGAGTGGCGATGCAAAGAACAAAATCAGAATTGCGAGGCAAAGGAATTAAAGAACGATTCAAAATTTAAAAACAATTGGCCAGGAAACGGAGAAAAGGAGATAAAAAGGTGGGATGACGACGAAACATCATGTAAGGAGGTCACATCATAATAGTCATCCGATCTTTTTATCACACTTTTCTCTGGTTCCTGGCCACGTACTTTGAAATTTTGAATCGTTCTTAAATTTCCTTTCTTCGTCACTCTTACTTTTCTTCTTCCTCTTTCATTATTTCTACAATAAAATTCATGTGGACAGAGCCTTCTATTTAATTATGCGAGTCCCGCGTGACAAGTTTATTAAATATCACGATGTTTTACTACCATGCTATTCAATTATTCAGCCACGGTATGACGAAGTCACTGGTTCGAGTCCAGCCGGATCGAAGGAAATTTTCTTTGTGTTCGGTCTTTTATTTTATTTTAATTTACAGACCCACATTAGCCAGGAAACCGAGGCGGCACTTATGGATTTTATGCGTGACGCCGTGGTTGAGTGCGCTAAGGATTTCAGTTTGAATGTGGATGACCTCAAGGAACAGCATAAATCTAAGGATAGTCTTGACGGTGTAGATAAATGCTTCGTCGGTTGTATTCTAAAGAAGAAGGGTGTGGTAAGTAGTTTCACAGACTTTGGACTAAAAATGTATCGGATATTGTGAACAATTTTGTCAACGTTAATATACTCCCGGACACATAATTCGAGCCACCTCGCATTTTTGTCGTTAAGGGCTAAATACAAAAATAGTGTTATCATCGAAGAACAAGTTTTGCCCCGGTTTTGCATTACCCAAATTCCCAAAAAGGACTTATGGAAAAGGCGTTTAGTATACTAGTTTCAAATCTGAATAATAGTTTTTGATCAATCAAACATTGTTTAAGCTTATGGCACTTAATACTGAAAATGCGTGATGGCTCCAATTATGGTGTCCGGAAGTGTATAATCCGAAGACGAGGTGGACAGATCATATCGCCAAAGATTTAAGGAGCTGCTATGATTCTGAAAACGATACGTCTAGCAAAGTAGAGGGAAAATGTAAAAAAACCAGACCCCACCATCAGATAAGAACGCTGAGGAGATAGAAAGATAAACTTTTAGTAGATATGCGGCTTATATGCTCTCCATAGATTTAATCATTTTCGTCTGTTCTTATTTTCTAAGTTTGAATACAATTTTTATTGTATTGCTAAAAAATATAGTTAGGACTAAATATGGCTCATTATCAATAATAAAAAACATATGCCTCAAATTTGTCGTGATTGTGTTATCCTTTGCGTTCTGTAACCTTAAATATTGTACATAATTATTAGACATTTTCTATCTTTATAATATTGAGGGCTTTCTGGAATATTGTCCTATCTCAATAAATAAAGAAGGTGGTTTATATTTGATATATATTTTTTGGATGTCAAATTCGATATGTTATGCGTTGGGTGTATCCGATTTTCCGACGGTTTATCTTATTTTACTGTTTTACTGTGAAAGTAGTTTTACTTTCTGTAAAATATGTTCATATAAGAATAACCTCAGTATCATTGACGGAAATTTGCATGAAAATGTAACATAAAAGGAAATGTGTCCACGATTTTAACAATAAATCTCCATTTTGTTTATGAAGATAAGGAAGCGTGTTATATCTCTTTCAGATAAACGAAGGGGGTAAATATGACCTCGACAGAGGACTTGAAATAATGAGGGAATTAATAGCAAATGACGACGATTACAAGGTCCTGGAAACCACTTCAAAAGATTGCGTTTCTGGTTAGTTGGAAATAATTTTTTATCTGAGTATCATAGTCACGAAACTTTTGAGAGACAGTAGGGCATGGCTTTATATTTTTATATTGCGTTGATTAACGCATATGAGCTTGCTGAAGATATTTCAATTAACACTACAGTTAATAATGGAGGGATACGAGATATTTTTTTTCTTTTTGGTAGCTATAGTTCATTTCACACAGCATGATTCATATAGCATAGGTGACGTTTGAGTTTTGATGTTTTTACATTCCGAATAAGAAATAATCGATTTAAATATCTTATCGAGATAATTTGCAACGAAGAGAGAATCGATTTGCAAAAAATATTTTAAATACAAATAATGAACAAAATAGAAAGAATTCAATTATTATGTTATTAAGTTACCAAAAAAATTTCACATTAAATAAAACAATCAATAATAACCAAACAAAAATTAACAACAAAACATACAATCAATTGCAACGATACGAAATTTGAACAATTATAACACGAAATCACGCAAAGCTCAAAACAAAAGAAAACGACCCGCCTAACAGGTGTGTGCAGTCGTATTGGTGTGAGATACACAACAGCCGATTCGATTTATCGATTCTGTGGTGTAAATCTCTAAAGATAAATATTCCGTTTTACGCATCAAGTAATTGGGCTCATTTACTTTTATCTCTATCATTTCAGTCTCTTTTATTTAAAATTAGTACTGCAACAAATAGTATTTATTTTTGGTACATTAAGACAAATTTACTATTTCATTTTGTAACCTGGTTTAGAGATAAATTACAAATAGCATGCGTGCAACGTAAAAATTGGAAATGTTACAGAACTCATCCTATGTGAAATGAATTTTGGTATGGCGACATTATAGTGTGATAATTAGCTTAGCTTATGACACCAAAGACGTAACAATTTATAGTAACATTCTATAATTTTATGGCCCTCGTGTTGATGTATAAATCTTTTTTTACTGAAGCGTCATAAGCACCTTTTATCATATAATATACATCACTGCTATTATAATAGTGTTGTGACTCAAAATGTGTGAAATTCAAGATAGTAATACCATTGCTGAACATTTGATTGTATACGCGTCAATAAAACCGTCGTTAGAATATTGTAAAAAACAATTATTAAAAGATATCTACTTAATTCAAAAAGAGACAATCTTTATGTGAGCTAGTACTGGCCAAAACAATCCTCACTCAAAAATATGAAATTCTTTTTTCCCTTTTATTTTAAAAAATATTTGACCAGTGGGAAATTTGTAGACGTCTCTACTAAATTTTAATCTAAATTTAGTGATTTTTCACGGCAAGTGAGTAACTAGTTTTTCATAGATTCGGAAAAATACTCTTTTTAGTGACTTCACTATTGTATTAACAGAGTGATTATTATTTTGGTTTTACATTTATTTACATAAAAATTAAAGCTTGTTAACGATAACAACATTTAATTTACAGTGAACGACGAAACAGTGAGTGACGGGGATAAGGGATGCGACAGAGCTTTTCTTCTTATGGCCTGCTTAAAGAAGGAAAAGGTATGTAAAACTACACAAACGTAATATACTGATCTTCGATTGTTACTTGTTTTTTTTTTTATAATAATATAATAACGTATCGAGTTCTTAGGTTTTCGTGATTGTTACACATAGGAAATGAAACTATTTTTCGGATTTAAATGTATCGTATCGTATATTTGTTTTTCAAACAAAACAACGTCTCGGTCAGTCAACCGTGACCAAACCCGAAACGTTGGTTTGTTTGAAAAAAAAAACAAATATACGCAATTTAAATCCGGAAAAATAATTCATTTCCTAAATATAATAAAGCACACATTCAACATAGCCCCGCACTAGGGAAACCCTCGCGGGTGCCATGAACACACACATAGGCAACCACAAATTGCCCCCACACTCATGAGAGAAATAAATGTAGGCTATACAAATATTTCTTCCGGCCCAGGAATCGAACCTGAGACAGACGTCTCTGTCGCGTGTAGCATGGTAACTGTTCGGCCACAGAGGCAGTTTTACAGTAGTAGTATGTTTGTTTGGTAATTTTAAACTCAATTGCAAAAAGTGACGACGTCAGTGGCCCAACTGGTTTGCTCGGTTCGAATGGATTTCGGTAGGATCAATTTGGAAAATGAATTGTACGAAGTTTTCTGGGTAGAGTTCCGGAGTCAATTCCGTTACGCTGGTACAGGCAATTCTCTAGTTTGTGAACAGATATTTGTTATACAAAAAAATCTTATTGCGTGATACTAAACTTATGAATATTAAGTACCTATTGTAGGTATTATTAATTTTCTAATTTCTTATTTTTCAGGAAGGGACCAAATAAGGCGGGGACCCTGTTTTGACAAGATGCACAATATAACTCCATGGACAAAAAGATTATAGTTTAGTTTGAAGTTTTTGCTAAAATAAATCTATGTTGATTTTTCAAAGTTCGTTTTTTGTTTTATTATGCGTTCGCGTGAATTAAATTTGCGTATTTGCACAAAGGGGAGTTTTAAAGACTTTCATAGGAAAAAGATTTCGCAATACTAAGATGAGTATGAGATTTATAAAACGAATTTTGACTTGGACTAAGCAAAAGAAATGTGAGCTAAGCGAGTTTTTCATATTCACTAAACGAGCGACTTAAATCCGGAAAAATAGTTTCATTTCCTATGAACTTTGCTTAAGTTAGTAAATTACACTTTGAGTTTACTTTCGTAATTTCTTGCTTGAACTTAGGCAAAATTCGTTTTGTAAATACAAAAAAAATTGCTTAGGTCGCCATCTTCGCTTAGTCGAAGTCAAAGTTCGTTCTATTTTTTTTAGCATGCCAAGTGACGAGACGAACAAGTCGTGCGCCTGGTGGTAAGCGACACGCCTGTCCATAACAGTTACAGTGCCACTCGGAGCTTTAAATCGCAGAGGTCTTAGAGACACAGCCTAGGGCATGCAAACCGGTTACTCGGTTAACCGAAAAAACCGGTCAATTTTGGAACCCAGTGTTCAGCTAAGCAAAAACCGGTTTATTCGGGATTTTCGGTTTTGTCTTTCAACTATTAAAACGTTAAGTTTGTAACTCATAATATCATCGTATCCTAGTTAACAATGATAAATAAACGTTAATTAAAAGCTAGGAACTCGAGTGTCTAACCACAGGACTGCGACAGCGTTCTGGAAACGGAGGCGGGTAACTTTTGGTATACCGAGTTGTGAGCGAGGTTCGCTAGCAATATAGCGACAAATCCGAGTCACCTATGCTCTTGGGAGGCTTTTCGACTGAATCCAAGGCGGCTAGTTGATATACAGCAGAACTATTCCATAGGTGCCAACAGTACTCTATACACGACCGGATGTGTGCATGGTACAGCTTTTTTGAAGCAACTGCCCGGTTTGATGAAACATCTCACCTTGGAAAGGATGTCAAGCTTCTTGGCTGCATTGTTGACCATGGATTTTAGGCATCTGCCGAAGTTTAGACTGAACAACAGGTTCATTCCAAGTAGTTTATTTATTTATTATTTATTATTTATTTATTTATTTTAAACACTAAGAATATTACAAAAATATATATACATCACACCCTTAAACCTACATTGGTTTGTCCGGGTGCTGTTGGCGATGGTTGGCTATCGGTATGGATATATCACAAACAGTCGGAGTCAGGTAAAGGGGTTTCGTGGAGAATAGACACGCCTGCGTTTCGTGGCGTTCCATTTATAAGTTTAAGCTTAAGACAGCCGAAGTGCAAATCCAAACGACTAATCATAGACTCTCGACAAGACTGGATTTCTTTTCCACTGACCCTTGCATTGATCAAGTACCTATCTACAACTGTACTGTCATCAGTATGTCTGAAGGTACCTGGAATGAACATATTGTTGATATGCGGCAGAAAGAGAGTTGCGGACAGTACGGAACCCTGATGCACTCCGGAACTCTACCACCCAACGTAGTATAGTAAGATCGAATCGAACGCTCACTCAAAATCCGTACTGGCGATCACTGAGGAAATCGTTGTCGAGGAGACGGTTATTAAAAACACTTTTCATAGTCTTGCAGAATATGGAAGTGCCTGAGACACGTTGCACGTTTGCAAGCTTCCACGACCTGAGAACAGGAGACAACTTATGTACATAGTTCCGTAGGACTATTGCTGGAAAACCATTTGGCCCGCTAGCTTTAATTCACGTAGCTCTTTTTAGCATGACGCAGACACGTATTCTCTGCGAATAGTGAGGCAAAAATATTTTTCGCCTTCCCTTCCACATACTGTGGAAGCGAAGGTGTCTCAGCAGAGGTGGTAAAGAAGGACGACTAAAGTCTGTGACAGCTTTGGCCAGGGACCAATAGGACTTGCCACTTGCTGGAAACGGACAAACTTGGCCCCTATGTGGCGCACATGATCGAACTTGGCTCTGTATAACACTCATTTGTACGTCTTGGCAGTCTCATTAAATTCTTGAGCTTCAGAGTATTCGGAGCTTTGCGCAGTCGAGCATACGCTGTTTTTGTGCTTCTTTACAACTACAGTCAGCGTTGAAACATGGATGAGCTTGATGTTTATTGGGTACGTTAGAGTATTGTATGTAATATTCCACACCTAAACGCAAGATTTCGACTAGATTATTAGCACAGCTTGATGTGTTCCCTGAAGTAAAGCAATATAATAATAAATGTCCCAATTTGCTAACATGTTTCGCCACATCCGTCTCATATCGCCATCTGATTGGGGAGAGGTTTCAAAAGAGAATCGACAGAGCAATTAGTAGTATGAGACTTAAATATCTGGGATCCTGGTGGCGCTATTTACAGCGTCGTCGACGCCTCTCTCCCAGCATAATTAGGTAATTTGGTATGGGCACAACCATTCTCTCATTTCAACGAATAAGTAACTGCGTCGCTGGGTACCTATGATGAGCGTCATCAGACTTCTCACTCAGATGTTGGAACATCTTGAACAGAGATTAAGACTGAAAAAGAAGATGTTTAATTGCTTGTCTCTAAAATATGTATATTTATTTTAGGGTATTTGTATTACTGTTGATTTTGTTTTTATTATAATTCTAGACGTTATTGATCTCATTAGCCGTGAATTCTATAAAAATAATTTAAAAACACTAACTTGATGTTTTTTTAGTTTTCTGACACTTTTAAAGAGATATTTGGGTGACAATAGAAAAATAACCGAAAAAAAAGGTAACCGGTTAACATTGACTTAATAACCGAAAAATCGGTTTTCAAAATCACCCGGTTTTGTTGACAAGTTGACAAGTGCATGTGTTGTGTGTAGGAAACCGATACCGTACTGACGCGTCACGACACGACACGTCAGATAAATGTAAATCAGGCTCATATGTAAAGCAACAAGTACGTTTTACTCCACAATTTTATGTTGCTTGCTTAACTCAATAGTTTCAAAGAACAACATCTTTCGAGAGGGTTTTACCGTGACTATAATACCTGTAAGGGCCCCGAAACGTCGGTTAGTTTGAAAAAACAAATGTACGCTGTTTGGATCCGAAACAATACTTTCATGTCCAACAATATCTTTGTTACTATATTTAGATATTTGTTTGAATGAATAAAAAATTACAAATGTTGGTGTAGTGTAGTATGGTGCAACATGTAATTTAGCGCTATTCTGCTGATCGTAGATACCGTGAATCACCATGACAATGTTGTTATTATAATATGATTCATCAGAAGTAATTTACACGTACGCCAGGTAATAGAGAAATAGTGTTAATAACAGCAGTATAACCTAGAACACGTGAAACCTACAAGACGACCCTAACTTAGGCTATACAACTTTTATTTATATCTTAGAGTATATGCATGATTGCATTGATTCTATGAAACAAATTTTCAAGAAGATTCTATTTCTGGTTGACAGCCTTGGTTTCTGTTTAATTGAACAGCAAGAATGTAGAAAAGAGTAGCTACACCCCTGAAACTTTGCTTTTGTGACTCTCAACATGGGTATTTACATACTCTCGCAAATCTACACATTTCTAATTTGTTTGTCTTTAATTTGTAGCATGTTGGTTGAACTATACTATTGATTTGAAATACTCTTATAATGTTCCCTTTTTGTTTTTATAACAAAAAAAAACTTGTGCGTTTCCGTCATAGATTTAGTATATACTAAATCTATGGTTTCCGTAATGGTACGCAAATTCAAACTTATTTTTTATTTTATTTATTTAGAATGGATAGCCAACACTATACGTATACAGAGTATAGCTAAAGAGGTACAATCAAAATATTAAAAACATAATACATATTTTTATCACACTTACAGGCTACCATAGCATGCTAGTACTAGCAAGTGGATTTCATTATAACATATAGTTTACACTTTTAAATTCATTCGACATTAATATAATTACTTAACATAATTTTATTTTAATATTATTTTAATTTTTGGTAAATATGAATCTGTCTATTTTAGTTTTGAAGCTGAGCAGGGAATCATCAAAAGTATCCAAATCACATAGCCTATGATACTGTTTATAAGTTTTAACAATTCTACTTGTAGGAGCAGAGATATCAAAATTAGTTCTAGAGGTACGAGTTTTAAAAGGTTTTAAAAGGTTTTAAAAGGTTAAATTATTCACTATTTTAGGAAAAAACGTAGATCCAGTATAGTTCTACGATTAGACAGACACAGCTTTTCGTTATAGTGTCCACAAAATCAAAGTTTTTGCAGGGAAATAAAGCCTTTCGAAGTTTTTGTGTTAGACCCAATTATAAAGATTTTTATAACCCAGAAATAAAAACCGTGTTACATGGTGTTATCGTTGAATGGAGTTGAAATTGGAACGTAGGCATCGATTATTGATCTATCATCAGTGATTGTAATCGTTTTTCTCTTCGATGTTTTAAAGCTATAATAAGTATGCTAATGTAAAATGAAAATAATACATTATTAATCATCTATATTTAATGTTTTATTTATAATATTAAAATTATTGTCCACAATCCAATATGCAACTTATTTACTAAATAATTTAATACTAATATTTATTTAGTTGTAATAGTTTGTTTCTTGGTCGGATGATTGAATATTGTTTAGTTGAAGTCAAAAGTGAACCCGAGCTGAAAAATAAAGATAATAGAATGAATAAAGCTACACTCTTATTGTACACACAGAGACATAACACAAGAATGACCAAAAACACAACAAGGTGGGCTCAAAAGACGGCTTTATAGGTTTCATTTTTGTCTAATCCTTTAGTGTTTAGAAGAGGGTTTTCTTCCAATGGACACGTCGCGTACACAATTACACACGCAACAAAAGAGGGTACAAAACTGAAATAATTGGGTTTGTCTATTATTAAGGCCTGCACACACTACGTCGTACAACATCTTATTCTCTCTCATCGAGTAAATAGGTTATATACTTGATGTTCTCTCTACTCTACGGAGATGCCAATATATTGCTACGA